AAAATACAGGGGTGGTAAGAGATTAGCCTGCTGAAGATCCACGATGAGAGGGAGAGATACTCACCCTGTACTCCCACCCTGTCACATCACCCTGAAGGTTGTGTTAGAGCTTGTACAGAGGCAGAGGATAAAGAAGGAATTAAAAATTTAAAGACAAAATTGCTATGCTTTGTAGTTAACCTTGCTTTTAGCCTCTCCTACGTGTGAACCAAGCAGCTGAGGGTTAGCAAGGCCTGAAATGGAAAGAATTAAGCCTGTCCCTCTATTTTTCTTCATGCCTGATTCCAAGGGCAGTTTAAGAGAGGGAGTGTTTCCTCACATGCAGAAACTACCCACCAAAAAGGCAACATTACTTCTCAACCAACTATTTCTGACTGTCTCCCCTCTCTTTGGGGGCTGAGGGCAGGTGTCTGCTTTGTGACTGCTCCCCGAGGTCGTGGTCCATCCATGCTCCTGAGGAATGACGGATCGGGTGAGAGAGGAGAACTCTGCATAGCAATAGATCCTCTCGGGTTACTAAACTTATCCACTCTCCTAAATCTGTTGGAGGATTAGTAGTATTAAAGGAGGACATATCTGCCCCTTTACTTCCTCTTTGTCCTCTTCTCCTTGCTCCTGTAACCTCAGGTGACCCAGTTGGTCAGCTGAAGGAGAGCTGTACCCTGACCCCCAGGAAGGCTGTTTTTCCTACAGGCTGGCTTACAGTGCTTCATTTCAGTAGATTTGCACAAGGAAACACACAGCAGAGATGTGCTGAAAGGGTATCAGCAGTCAGGCCTCTCAGAAATTTTAGGTGGACAAATGTGTGCCCTAAGTACTTCTAAACAGTGAAAATTTTGTTCTTTACTGTGTATCTCGGTTCAGTGGTGACATATATGAAATTATTAATACCATTAATGTATGTGCAAGTATGAATTCCCTGATAACCTCAGTGTTAATCAGTTGATACATTAAAAGTACACACAGAAATACATTGCAACCCCTAAAAGTTGCCATTTAATCTCTTGTAACATTTTTAAAGACTTTCTAAAGTTCTTAAAGTTCAGAAGGTCTTTAGAAGTTACCGATTTTACTCATTATCCAAGTTGCTCACCTCATAATTCTTGCTCTGAGTTGTGTTAAACATATCATGTCATGTTAAGATCAGAGAAATATGTTCTTTTAGAGTGTTTGACTAAAAAAATATGTAAATAATCCCTTGCCTGATAGTTTCTTACATGACATCATGATGAGATTTTCAGAGCTGAGCAGGAGTTACTCAGTACTTTTTTTCTGATGTTTGGAAACTCCCTTTCCACCTCACTTTTTCAAATCTCAGCCAATGTAATTAGTTGCATGTAATGATACGTCAATTAAAAAAAATATTGTATTTTGGTATTTGAGGTAGGCATGGTCATACCTGTTACTTAAAAAACTGTTCATGTTACTGTACTCTGTCTCCTGTGTGTCATCAGCTCATACTAAAATCAATATTTGCCAGGCAGTGTTCCATGGCTGGATCACGTTCATGGAACAGCAGCTTTTAATGAACTACAGAAGAATGGAGGAGGATTATTTCTCTTACGTATTAAAGAATATTCTCCTTCTCCATTAAGGATAAAGGTGGAGACCTTTACACTTGGCTTTCTCTTGGTGGTAAGTGCAGACAGCAAGTGTTGATTTGTCCTGGCTCCCTTGGGAGCTGTCAGCAGCCACAGAGCCCTGACTCCTCGTCATCGGCTGCTCTCTGCAGGAGCAGGAGAGGAAAATCACTGCAGATTTCCGTGTAGGAGCAGGTGGGGATTGATCCCATTGTCCTGCTGCTTCTAGCCTGCATTCCATCACAGCCAGGAAGGGTGGGCACAGCACAACAGCAAGGCCAATAACAGAGAAATTTGAAAGAGTGACAGGGCTCTTTTATGCATTTGCACAGGCATTTAACTTTAGAGTTCAGTTTATCCAGTAGCTTGGGCAAGAACCATGCTTTTTCCTTGGCTGGTTCCCAGGCTGGGCAGATGTAGTGGGTGTATTTGATAAACAATGTAAATAAAATTCTGTATCAAATATGTACAAAGCTCACGCTCTAGAGACATTCTTCAGTCTAAATTTAGATTCACACTCGAGCTACAGGTAACACTTGAACAAACCCAGCAGAGTAGTCAGTGTGCACAGGCAGGAGCCATCCATCCACCTTGCTGCCTTGGCTGATAAAATTCCTCTGTGAGGCTCCAGTGCTGTGGGCAGGGATTGTGCCCAAAAGAAAAACACTGCGTGGGCGAACCTTTCCTGGCTATTTCCAGAGCAATATGCTTTTAGATGAAGTCAACACTGGTGGTATTCCCGGGTCAAAATGTAAATAACTCATCAGGAAGATGTTAAGTGCAGTTTATTTGAAGTATGTTGGGGGAAAGCTTGAAGTAAATCACAATAAATATGAGTGGCAGTAAAAGAGAGATTGGATCTGAGCTTTGCAGGATCAGGCTTGAATTCTCAAAGAATTTCTCCTTGAGCTGAAGAGGGATTATTACAGATTCATGTGTTTCCATGCCCACCTCTGCGTGCATCACGTCCCTTGCCTTCCTGCTGCATTTCAGTGCGTTGGTACAGACAGAAGACATTAATAGGTATGTTTGTGTCATTTGTGGGATTATGGAAATCAGGCACTTATCCTTTCTGCAGTGTGTCTTAAAATTAACCAGATGCACGTTGGGCACACTGGAGTTCTCCTGGACAGTAGGAATATTTGACTTGCGTTTCCTGCCCTCATCACCTGCTGAGACTTGGAGGCTGGATGTGTGCTGCTGAAGCAAAAGGAACAAGTTGCAAGGAAAATCTGATTAGATTGTGAGAATTGCCCACAGAGAGGATGGTGAAGCACGGGGATAGGGAGTCTCCATCCCGGCACTGAAGCAGGCCCTGAGTCTTGTGATCTAACAAGATTTAGCTGTGCTTTGAGCAGGGGGTTGGACCAGATAAACTAAAAGAAGAGCAAACCCTTGCTCCTGAAGCTGGTGGTAGAACCTCCTTTGCACATTGCTAAGATGTAACCATGTTCTGCGCCATCGTACTTGAACCTGGGGCTCCTCCAGCCTTATGGTGTTGTTCTTTAGTGCCCAAGATTTTTTGTTTGTGTTAGTTTTTTGGGCTTTTTTTCCAGTTTTACTTCTTGAAATAATCTAAGAGAAGCCTCTCAGAGCAGGGTTTACAGGACAAAACTGTTTTGGGCCTGAGGGTGGGAGATTGTAGATGGACTGAGCAGAGGGGATGGAGCCAGTCCAGACTGGGCTCAGCCATTATGGGTTTGGAGCAGCCCCTGAAGTAAATGACTTCTAGATTTCTGCTTGTGCTTTTCTGGCCACGGTTCAGGTAAACCAGTCTAAAGCAGAAGAAACACTCTGATGCTTCAGCACAGGCTCAGTTGGGACTTGAGCCTGCTCCTGAGGCATCCTTTCCCAGTGCTGTGGATGTTCCCTGTGTTGTCTCATGTTTGCCAAGTACCTGCACTAGAGGTTGGTTCTCTGGAATGTGCTTCCTTGGAGGTTTCAAAGCTGGGCTTGTGCATAGCTGCTTGTGAACCAAGCAAATGGAGGAGTGATTGTGTCCTAAGCAGCAGTTTGGGATTTGAGAATCCTAGAATGTCCCGAGTTGGAAAACCTCCACAAGGATAATCCAGTCCAACTCTCTTTGCAGTAAAAATAACAAGAGCTGCTTGTCCCAGTCCAGGACATGCCTCTCCTGTGGCACGAGCAATGCAGCACAGAAGAATGTGTGAATAAACCAGGATTGTTTATTTTTGGGGTGTGTGGATATTGGTTTGAGAGGATTTCCTCATTTTTTTCCTTGCTGGGACGGAAATGGATGGATAGTCAGTGCTGCTCATTTTAGATGGATCATCTGGGAGTCACCTGTCTGCTGTAAACAATAGGTGTGCCCACGTCCAGCTGTGCAAAAGGATCAAATGTTGGGATTTTGGAGGAATCCTGGACAAGCTGTTTCCCTCTCTAGTGATGAGGAGCTGTGTTTCTGCCTGGGGATGGACATGTAGTAAAAAACAGTCCTTGCACCTCCTGGTCATGCCCTGTGCTTCCCAGCAGAGGCACACACATTGGGATGTGTGTATTGAGTTGCCAGCTCATCCTTGAATAGCAGCTTCCAGTGAACTGTAAATGTAACACAGAGTGTGCTGGAGACAGGAATTTGAGGAAGGAGGAATTCCACCCAACAGAACTGCTGAGACTTGAAAATCAAGCTAGGTTTTCTTCTGGCAACTTCAAAGCAGGGAGCTCTCTGTAAATGCAGGCTCAGGAATGACTACAGCAGCTAATCAAGGGCTGTCATTCTCTTCAGCAGCTCATGGGGCTGTAGAGCAAACAGGGAAAGTTTCCTCTGTTAGACTCAGGAAAACAAAGAGATACTGCTGAATAAAGAAGTTATTGAGTTCCCTAGAACTCTGCTTTTGCAATGATTGCCTCTGTAACTGAGCTGCTTTAGTCTGGCTCCTGGAGCTGCTGCTTTCCCTTCTCATCCCTGCCCCTAGTGAGGCCTCATTGTGTTCACTGTTACAACCTTTATTCACTGACATTTTGAGGACCAGTATAATCTAAGTAAATACACAGTTTGCTTTGCTTAGAGGGATTTGATGCTGTACCTAAAACTACCACAGGTCCATCATTTCAGCATCCCCACTGTGGGGAGTGAGCTGTGTGGGAGAGTGGAAGGAGATCACTGGTGAAGAGTGAAGTCTGAGCAAATTCAGAGGTTGTCCATCTGGGAACTCTGGGTTACAGTTCATTTTTGAAAGTTCTGAAATTAATTTGTTTTCATTGACAGATTGAAGTTACCCTAAGCTTTAAGGTGTGATTGCTCACAGCATGGGAAGTTCAACCCAGATATTGCCTGCTGCCAGTGAACTGCCAACGAGGTTGTACGTTTGATTTAACACCAACACAATTTTTGTTTTCTCTCTTCTTTTTCCCTTCAACCCTTCTGCCCTCCGGACGTCCCCTCCCATCCTCCCTCAGGCCTGTATTGATGAGAACCTGGACATGGTGAAGTTCCTAGTGGAAAATGGAGCCAATGTGAACCAGCAAGACAACGAGGGCTGGACCCCTCTTCATGCAGTGGCGTCGTGTGGCTACCTGAACATAGCAGAGTGAGTGAGTCTGGGGCTGTTCTGGGTATTTATAACACTTCTCTGGGCCTGTCTATTCAGAGCAGCTACACAGGTGATGAATACTCTACGCCTTGTACGATGCTTTGGAAAGCAATGCTGAAAATAGGTGCTTTTCTCTTGGTATTGAATTCTGAACTTCTGAGGATTAAGGTGAAGCCTTCAACTGGTTGCCTTTTTCTGTTGCCATTAGACTGTCTTACGATTCATTAGATACTTTAGCTAAAATGCCAAGAAAAAAGGAAAATGGAACAGCTGCTACAGGGGTGTGCAGTGAAGGAGCTCCTCCCTGTGAGGGTGGGCAGGCCCTGGCACAGGCTGCCCAGAGCAGCTGGGGCTGCCCCGTGCCTGGAGGTGTCCAAGGACAGGTTGGATGGGGCTTGGAGCAGCCATGGCATGGGGTGGGACTGGATGGGCTTTAAGGTCCCTTCTGACACAAACCAAACTGAGATTCCACAAGTACATTTCCTTACCACAGACAGACTGGTGTGAGCAGTGCTGTGGTTAAGTGGGGACTTTCAGCTGTTCAGCTGTCAATCCAGCACCACCAATACGTTCACCACTAAACCCCAAGTGCCCCATCCACTCCTTTTTTGAACACTTCCAGGAATGGTGATTCCACCACTGCCCTGGGCAGCTGTGCCAGGGCCTGACCACTATTTCTGAAAATAAATTTTCCTTAATGTCCAACCTGAACCTCCCCTGCTGCAGCTTGAGGTAATTTCCTCTTGTCCTGTTCCTTGTTCTCTGAGAGCAGAGCCTGACCCTGATCCCTGCCTGGCTGCACCCTCCTGTCAGGGAGTTGTGCAGAGCCAGAAAGTCCCCCCTGAGCCTCCTTTTCTCCAGGCTGAACACCAACCCTTTGTTCTTTGCCAGTCATACCGTGCTTACATATTTAGTCCACCACAGCTACCAGAAAGTTTCCAAAATTTGAATTAAGATAACTATTTCTTCAGTGAATTGAAAATAAATTACAAAATCAGGCAACCTCACCCTCCTATATTTGTGTGCCTAAACAGATACTTCTTTTACTTCTCAGAATTCCACTAATTGAAATATGTACAAGCCAAATAAGATGTCTGTTGTTCTTCAATGAACTTTTTGTAAAGTTGTAAGAATAAAAATTTAAAAATTGATGATACTTGATGAGGCTTTTTAAAAAATTAATAAAATTTCATTTTCTTTTAAAAAAAAAGATAATCAACCAGATTAATGCAATAACAGGGGTATTTAAGTAACTATGGAGAAAGAAAAACTGTGAGCCCCTGAGCAAGGACCTTGCACTTACAATGAACTTTTTTAGTCTGGAAATTGGCTAAGAGTAAGGTCCTCATTTGGTAATTGAACTTGCATGAGAAAGACAAATCCTTTGTGGTGCTGCTTGGCTGCCTGTGTCGTTGCTCTGGAGCCAGGCACAGAGGTGTGACGTGCTGGGCTGGTGTCCTGCTGCAGGTACCTGATCAGCCATGGGGCCAACGTGGCTGCTGTGAACAGTGAGGGCGAGGTCCCGTCCGACATCGCCGAGGAGGCGGCCATGAAGGACCTGCTGCTGGAGCAAGTCAAGAAACAAGGTAAAGGAAGGGCTTGAGTAGTGAGAGTTGGGACCCCTAAGAGTTTCTGTAGGAGAATTCTGCTGCCTTGCTGTGTGTTGGTGAAGAGATCAGAGATCTGGCCCAGGAAGCAGCAGGCAAATTTTGCTTTGCTATCAGGACAGTGGAGCAGATGCAGGAGGTTTGTGGTCTCTGTCCTTGGGATTCTTCAAAGCAAGGCACCACAGTACTGAAATCTGATTAATCAGATCTAGTTACTTTTAAAGTGAGATTTAGTTCTGACCTCTGATATAAATGAAAGGTCATGTTTCACTAAGGCTTGATAAAACCGAGGTGAGATTTATGGGACTGCCAAAGGCAGGGACCAGGAAATTAATATTCCGGGCCTGGAGTGTCATGCTTTGTCCTGATCTTTCCCTAGATTTCTTCTGCCATATCCCCTTTCTCATCAGGTGTGCCTGGTTGAGAGTGGCTGCTCTCCAGGCTGTCCCTGCACAAACATCCCTGACTGAAGAATAGTTTTGGACTGATGTTAAAATAAAGAATTACTTTATCAGGCTAAAATTTTCTTCATACTCATGGAATTCATTTGGGAGTGGTTGAATGTCTGCATGTGTGTGTGAGAAGTTTAAATCATGTCTATGAATTTCATCAACAGTGTTGGAAAAGGAACCCAAGGAATTCCTGGAGCTTCTATCCTTGGACATAGTCAAAGCTCATTCGTGTCTGAGCTGGTTCATCTGGCTTTGAAGTTACTCTCCTTGGAGTGTGTGTTTGGGCTACAGACCCCCAAAGACTCTGGTCTGGATTATTTTATTCCTGCAGGTGTGGGGGGGTGCTTGCTTGCTGGATTGAATCCAGTCCCTCTATTAGATATATTTTGACACTTGGTGGTGACTTTATTTTTTAAGGAAGGAATCAGTCCCTTGGTGCTTTATCACCTGTGTTAATGTTCCTAGGCCACCAAATTTGTCAGGCACAGTTTGCCCTCAGAGAAGCCAGGTTTACTGTCACCAATCTCCTCCTTATTTTCCATGGGCCTTAGCATAGTTTCCAGGAGGATCTGCTCCATGATCCTGCTGTGCACAGAGGAGAGGCCAGTTAGCCTGTAGTGCCCCAGGTCTTTCTCTCATCCCTGTTTAAAAATGGAGGCTGTTTTCCATTTTCCAGTCCATGAGAAGTTCACCAGACTGCCACAGCTTCTCAAATACAAGAGTGACTTAGATACTTCCTCTACCAGCTCCCTTGGGACCCATGGATGCATCTCACCAGGTTCTATGGACTTGTGCACCTTCAGGTTCCTTGAATGACAGTAATATGGCTGAAACCTTGCAGGACATTGAGGCAGTGGTTCTGCCTTACCTGCAGGTATTTTGCCTGACACTTTTTGGGATTCTGCTTGCATTGCCTCACCATATTAGTGGCATCCTGCTAAGATACCCTGAAACAACCATCTGTCTCCAGATGAAGATTCCCATCACACAGTTTAAAGGATCATATTGCTCGAGGAAATGGGGTTGAACTTTAAATAAGCATCTGTCCAGCTCCACAGCCTGTCCTCAGCGGGGGCTGTGAGCAGATGCCTGCTGCAGACTGTAACAACAGCTCAAGTGTGTACAATTGCCCTCCCAGCCTCCAGCCACTATGCCTCCAGAAATTCCTGAACCAAACTGGCTTTCTGTGTATTTGTGAGTGCCCTGTGACTTTCTGTTTCTTGAGCTCATGTAACCCTCCTTGGGAACTCCAACATGTTCAGGAATTGTGTGTAATAGCTACAAACTTGTCTAGTCCTTGGTCTGAAGCCAGTTTATTTCTGATCTTTGCAAAATCCTGCAACAGTAGGTCTCACAGCTCATACTCTGAGTTAAGTGTTTTCCTTGGTTCTGTTTTAAATGTAATGCCCCACAATTTAATTGGCAATCATGTCATTCTTGTACTGAAGGTATTAATCCATAGGAACACTTGCTCTTCGGGACCCTTCTTGGTTTTTGTGATTTGTCATCTTCTAGTTTGTATGTTTTCCTGAGTTGGAGAGTTCTACTCTGATTAATCTTGTTTGGATTGGCATCAATACTTGTGATTGATACATTGTCCTTCTATGTTCTCATTGCTGTGAAAACTCCAATTAGGAAAACAAGTGGAGTTTTGCCTCTCATTGGTTTAATGAGTCTGTCAGCCAGACACATCTCCCTCTCCACATCATCCCCCTACCTGTCCACACCTCCACCTGCCCCTAAGAAGTCACTTAGGCCATTGGCATAGATATCTTCTGGCCTTCTAATGCCCAAATGATTTCAAATTGTGTTTTGTCAGAATCTGGGGGTATGCAGCCCTGTGGAATAACTCAGTGCTTCTCTCAGCATGCCTGTCGTGGGTGCCTCTGGAGCAGTGCAGGTTCCTCTGTGTGTCATATGCAGTGTCCTGAATATGGAGTGAGCAAAGAGCTGGTGTCACTGTGCTCTTGCAGGAGACATCTGAGGGTCCTCAGACCTTCCCTGTAGATTATACCCTCACTGCAGGTCAATTGAATCAGTTAAGCTGTTGTTCATGACTTTGTTATTTCAGTCTGGGATACAGCCCAGAACTCAATCCTTCTACCCTTAATGAACATCTGAGCTTTTAGTTAATTGGACTGGGTTGCAACCACTGGCCCAGCTTTCAAAATTTTTAACTTAGGCAGTTTTTGAAGTCTCTGTCAATGACACAGAAGAGGCTTTTGCTGATTGTTTTGTGGAAGAAATAGTTTACTAATATTTTGTGGAAGAAATAGTTTACTAATATTTTATAGCAAGTGGAGCGTAGGTTAAGTGTAACAAGTACTTCAGAGCTTTCAACTCTTGTTCGTGTTTGTTCTGTGCTTTGCCCCCTTAGGTGTAGACCTGGAGCTGTCAAGGAAAGAAGAGGAGCAGCAGATGCTCCAGGATGCCCGGCAGTGGCTGAACAGTGGGAGAATTGAGGATATAAAACAGCCTCGGACAGGAGCCACAGCTCTTCATGTTGCTGCAGCCAAGGGATATTCTGAAGTCATGAGGTAGGAGCTCCTTCCAGGGATGATGCATTACAATAAGGCTGAAGACATCTTGCTTTACATTCAGAGAAATTTATTCCATACTGAAATTTTTAAGCTGCTGTTTCTCAAAAGGCTCTGTGTTTTTATGGGTACAGTCACAGTGGTTCACCCAGAAATACACAGGGACTGGAGGATTCCCTTTCATACCTGCAGGCTGTTTTGGAGTAATGAAAGCTTTTTGAAGAATGAGGCATAAATTAGGAGGTCTCTAATTTTTCGAATCACAAGGTCTGATTTTCACTGTTAGAGTAATAGTTTCAGGACTAGCAAGTTAAACAGTATTAGGGGATAAAAGTATAATGTTGACATAAAAAGTGACAATACATACTGCATGACAGTCACAAACATGACCAGTCTTGTGGGAAAGTGCAGTGTCCACCCCTGTCTCACTGTGCTCTGCCCCTTCATGCTATTGCTCCTGCAGTGACAGAGGGATTCCAGCACCTGACAGCTCTGCTGTCCTGGCACTAACAGGATTGTTATGTCCATAAGCCTGCCCAGTGTAGCATTTCCTGGTAAAAAACATTAATATTGCTACAGGTAATGTCTAAGCTTTCCACCAATAAAGCTTTCTTCTCTGCTCTTTATGTGTGGCTGGAGCTGCCCATGAACATTGAGCTCATTGAATCCCAGACTGGGTTGGGTTGGGAGGAACCCTGCAGCTCATCTTGTCCCTCCCCCTGCCTTGGGCAGGGACACCTTCATCTATCCCAGGTTGCTCCAAGCCCCGTCCAACCTGGCCTTGGACACTTCCAGGGGCAGCCACAGCTGCTCTGGGCACCCTGGGCCAGGGCCTGCCCACCCTCACAGGGAGGAATTTTTACCTCATATCTAATCTAATCCTGCCCTCTGTCCATGTGAATCTATTTCTCTTTGTGTTATTACTACATGTTCTTGTCAATATTCTTTACAAAGTGTCTTAGTTTGACACTGCCCAACGCCAGGCACCCACTCACTCACCCTCCCCTCCCACAGCTGGGCAGAGGAGAGAAAAAAATTAACAAAGGGTTCATGAGGTGAGATAAGGACCAGAGAAAACCCTTCAAGGGCAAAACAGGCTCAGCTTAAAGATGCAAAGTGAATTTATTGGTAACAGAATCAGAGGAGGATAATGAGAAGTAAAATAAGCCTTCAAAGCACCTTTTACCCCCAGCCCCTCCCTCCTTCCCACTGACAGCGCAGGGAGGGGAGACAGGGTGTGGGGGTTTGGGTCAGTTCAGCACCAAGATTTTCTTCACTGCTCTGGGAGAGGAGTCTTTGCCCTGTGAGACCGTGGGGTCCCTCCCACGGGAGACAGTTCTCTGTGAACTTCTCCAGTGTGGTTTCACTCTCACAAGCAGCAGTCTTCCCAAAACTGCTGCAACATGAATTCCCCCCACAGGCTCACAGTCCTCCCAAAACCGCTGCAGCGCAGGTCTCTCTTCCACGGGGTGCAGTCCTCCAAGGACAGGCTGCTCCAGCCTGGAAACGGCCCCCTCTCTCCACAGGGTCTCCCACTGGATCACAGCCTCCTCCAGGCATCCACCACTGCAGTGTGAGCACCTCCCCCGTGGGCTGTGGGTGGATCTCTGCATCCCCTGTGGATCTCTGCATCCCCCGTGGATCCCCTGGGCTGTGGTGGATCTCTGCATCCCCTGTGGATCCCCATGGGCTGCAGAGGCACAGCTGCTTCACCATGGTCATCACCACAGCCTGCAGAGGAATCTCAGCTCTGGTGCCTGGAGCACCTCCTCCCCCTCATTCTTGGTGTCTCCATGTTGTTTCCCTCACATGTTCTCACCTCCTCTTCCCTGACAAGAAGAAAAAGTGTGCATGCCCACTTTGTTTTGATTTTCTTCTTAAATCTGTTGTCACAGAGGTGTCACCAACCTCTCTAGTTGGCCCAGCTTTGACCAGCAGCATGTCCATCTTCAGAGCCATCAGGGATCGGCTCTGCCAGACATGGTAGAAGCTTCCAGCAACTTTTCACAGAAGCCACCTCTGTGGCCTGCCTGCTACCAAAAGCCCGGCTGTGTGTAACCAACACACAAGCTTGCTCTATTGTCTGTGTTAAAATCCATTCTGGAAGTGTTCATCTATCTTGATCCTAAGTTTCATAATTTTAAGTGACATACCTTGATGTCAAAGAGCTGTTTCATATCAAGCTCAAGCATTTTAAGGCTGTGTGTAACAAACCCACAAGCTTGCTCTATTGCCTGTGTTAAAATCAATTCTGGAAGTATTAATCTATTTGATCCTAAGTTTCATAATTTTAAGTGACATACCTTGATGTCAAAGAGCTGTTTCATATCAAGCTCAAGCATTTTATTGTACTTCACGTTTCTGATTTGTATTCGGTCATTAGAACTTATAACTGAGTGATGAGCCTGTACCATGCCCAAGAACAGCAATCTAACACAGCACATGTGAATAAAAATGTAATATCTCTGAATTTAAGGTGTTGGTCCACTCACCTGCCAGGGGAGGGTTGTGTATCCAGTGCACCTTGATGAAGTTCAGTGTGTGCAGGATGACTTAGTTCTGGACAGCCTCTACTTGGCATTAATTGCTGTAATGATAAACACATCTCACAGCAAGCTGACATTGTTTCACTCTTGTGTATATGATGGCTGTGCTGAAGTTCAAATCCAGAGCTCTAGTGACTTAAACCAAAGGGGCTGACAGCCAGGAGCCAGCTAACTCTAAATGAGACATGGAATTTGTCTGTGACCTTGAGTCTCTTAGCAGCTCTGTTTCTCCCTTCTGCCAACTGGAAAATCAACAGAAACTCAGCACCTAATTTACAATTTCTTTCACAGAGAAGCCCACAGCTGCTCTGCTGTGACTGTGTTTTATTTAGCACAGTAGCACATTGGTGTAAAGCTGTAGGAGTTTCCAAGCTATTGGTGCCATGTTGGGGTCCTGCTGGATTTCCCTCATGCTGTGCGATGGTGGCTCTGCATGGGGGAATTTCTCACAATGGAAATTTTCAGGAGCAGTTTTACCAGACTTGCAGAATTCCCCATGGATGTTATTCACTATTTAAGCAGTTTGGATAATAGTTTTGATACAGGAGCTGCTCAGTGCTCTTGCCTGATTACTGCCACATCAGTGTGCACATGGCTCTGGATCTCCAGACTACCCCAAACCTTTTGTGTTTGTTTTGGTATTAAATATTCAAGCTCCAAGTACTGTGAAACACCAGTGTTTTGCTCTGATGGAGAAGGGAGGGTGGAAGGAGCACAGCAGTGAGGGTAAGGAAAGGAGATCCCAGGCAAGTTCACTTGTGGAAGATTTGCTTTAATTGTCCAAGAGCTACTCTGAAAAATGCATTTGGGGTTGTTTAATCCAAATGAGGATTGTTTAGAAACAGATTTTACCTCTGTCACTGTCACTGGTGCTTCCCTGGCAGTCCTGTTGGTCTCCTTGAGGACCACCCCCACTGGGGCCCTGTGCTCTCGGGGAGCCAAGCTCGAGCTCCAGTTCCCAAATGTCCCTGTCCTGGCAGGTGCTGTGCTTGGCTCCCTGGCACAGGGCTGACAGTGCAGGGATGAACTGAGCCAGTCCAGACTCTCCTCTGCTGGAGCAGGAGTTCAGACTGGGTCACCAGTGCCAGATGAGAAGTCAAGGTGTTCTCCCAGTTCAGGACATGCTGAAAGGGAACCTTATCAGTTTGACATATTCCAGCAGGTTTTACATTGAAGTCACTTTGTTCATTGCCCTTTCCATTACAGTTTTGAGCACATCAGGTGGGATGTTGCTTTGGTTAATAAACAAGTTCAGAAGCTCCTGACTGTTAGGGAACCAGGCTGCCCACTTGGTGCCTAACAGGGGAAACTGCTGTGTCAGGAAGTCATTCCTGATGGGCAGAGATCAATCCTGCTGCTTTCCTCAGGCTCCTGATCCAGGCTGGGTTTAATCTGAACGTCCAGGACAATGATGGCTGGACTCCACTCCATGCTGCTGCTCACTGGGGAGTGAAGGAAGCGTGTTCCATCCTGGCTGAGGCTCTGTGTGACATGGACATCAGGAACAAGCTGGTCAGTACACAACTAATGCAGGGTATTCTATAGCCACATCAATAGTGACTATTGCCTTCTGCTTGATCATGGAATCATAGAACACATCACTGGTTTGTATTCAGAGGAGCCTTAAAGCTCATCTCATCCCACCCCCTGCCACAGGCAGGGACACCTTCCACTTGCCCAGGGTGCTCCAAGCCCCGTCCAGCCTGGCCTTGGACAGCTGCAGGGTTGGGGCAGCAACAGCTTCTCTGAGCAACCTGTTCCAGGACCTCACCACCCTCACAGCCAAAATTTCCTTCCCAATATTCCATCTATCCCTGCCCTCTGGCAGTGGGAAGCCATTCCCTCCTTGTCCTGTCCCTCCAGGCCCTTGTCCAAAGTCCCTCTGCAACTCTCTTGGAGCCACTTTAGGCCCTGGAAGGGGCTCTGAACTCTCCCTGGAGCTTTCTTTTCTCCAGGTGAACACCCACAGCTTTCCTAGTCTAGCTCCAGAGCAGAGGGGCTCCAGCCCTGGGGTCAGTTTAGTGGGCCCCTCTCAATTCTTTCCAGCAGGTCCATGTCTGTCCTCAGATGGGAGCTCCAGAGCTCAACACAGAGATCCAGGTGGGGTCTCATAGGACATCCACCATGTCAGTTTAGTGGGCCCCCCTTGATTCTTTCCAGCAGGTCCATGTCTGTCCTCAGATGGGAGCTCCAGAGCTCAACACAGAGATCCAGGTGGGGTCTCATAGGACATCCACCATCATGATCCATCTACATGACAAAGTCATAGCAGTCCTCCTTGCCTGTGCACTGGATAATTTAAATACATCAGTAAATGAAGAATCTTGACTGGCAGAAGATAGAAAAAGTTTCAGTTATTATGGCAAATGTGACCTGATTAAACTTTCATACTGAGCTTGTAAGAAGGGATAGGAGCTGATCTGTGCCATCCTTAATTAGTGTAACCCTGAGAAATCAAATGACAACAAAGGAACAGTCTTGGAGTGCAGAATAATATACTAATATTAAGGTATAAGGCACTGAAAAACAAGTGAACCCATGAGAAACTGGCAGTTTTAAATCCTCCCTCTTCTGTGTATTGGTAATAAGAAAGGAAATTGAAAATTTGTGAGACATAAGCAAAGAAAAATAGGATGGAGGAAAAGGAGCAAAACCATTTCCTTTCTAACAGTTGCAGGTTTTTCCTTGAAGAGCCCTTGTATTTTCAAGAGCTTGTCCAGGGCTGCTCTTGGTGTTCCCATCCCTGCTGGGATGTCCACACTGCTCTGTGAGCTGCTTCCCACTGGACCGGGTGTGCTGTGGCTGCCTTGGGGGAGGAGGGAAGGCTGAGTGTGCTTGGAGGAGCACCAGGGGATGGAGGCAGGCAGGAGGGTGTGATCAGAGAGGGCCCTGTGTGTTCAAGTGCATCCAGCTGTGCTGGAAACTGCTGGCACTCAAATGCCCCATGAGGAACCCTTTCAGCCTGGTGAGCTCTTTGGCACCCAAAATGTGGGGAATCTTTTCTGTTTAAATGCCATCAGGTGCTTTTCCAAAATGTTCAGGATGTGTATGGGGTCTTGTGTCATGCCATACTTGAAACAGCCACAGTTGCATTTATTGTGTTACTCGCTTCTTCCAGTCCAGAATTGTCTCCTGTTGGGTCAGATGGACAAGGCCACCTTTTATTTTTTGACATGTAACCATTTGGTTTCAGGTTGTTAATGGCATTTAAAGCTTTAGTTTGGTGAAAATGTAACCAATTTCTTGGTTTGTGCACTAAAGTACTTTTTCTGGTTTATTTTATTTTATAAATGCCAATGGACGTGGAAATGGATCCCAGATTTTTTGGCTTGCTGGCAGCCTTTCAGAACGTTTGAATGATGATAAAGTAACACAGAATCAGGAATATTGTGATCTGGAAGGGACCCACAAGGACCATCCACTCCAACCCCTGGCCCTGCTCAGACACCCCAACAATCCCACCCTGGGAATCCCTGGGAACATTGTCCAAACACTCCTCGGGGAGTGGCCATGCCCATTCCCTGGGGAGCCTGGGCAGTGCCTGGCCCCCTCTAGGGGAAGAACTTTTCCCTGATATCCAACATAAGAAGAGGTTGATCACATTCTCTCTCACTTCAAGAGTGTTCTTTTTAGAAACTTGGAAACTCAAGCATAGTCCTGGCTGTTTGATTTGAGCAGCAGCAACCAGGGACCTGCACTGCCCTGGTAAAAGCTGCTCACCGAACATAAACATGATCTTAGAGGTCTTCTGCAGCCAAAATGGTTCTGTGATTCCATGATCACTGTCACATGAGTTTCCTTGCTCTGGAGCGAAACAGTGTCACTCACCAATTGGGGAGGGAGGATGTGGAGCATATGCACTGGGAAATAGGACTTTTTGGAATATTACCAGTGTGCCATCTCAGATATCCTCTTGTGTTCTCTCTTTGCACCAGGGTCAGACGCCCTTTGATGTTGCTGATGAGGGACTTGTGGAGCATTTAGAAATGTTGCAGAAGAAACAGACTGTGGTGAGTTTCTGGAGATTGTTTTCCAATTACCTCCAATTACCTTTTCACACACAGGTGTTCTCCAAGACATGGTGCCAACAGATACAGGAAGCTGAGGCCTAGCTATTTTCTTTAGTTACTCATTTGCAATCTTTAATCACAGCAACATTTTTAATAGCTAGAAATCTAGATAACTGGATGACAGCAGCAAGGAGGTCAGTAATGTGATGGCATGCAGAATTATGGAAACTGGTAAGGAATTTGTGTTCATCTTTGTAATTGTTATTATCCTGCAAGTTGCTTTGTTGGCTGGCAGGCTCTCTGGCATCAAAGTGCTCCGTTCCTAGTGAGTGATTACCCAAGTCAGCTTTGTGTTTGTATCCAGGGATGTACACTGTCAGTGTCGAGAAACAGATCTGTTACCATGTCTGCCTTTCTTACAATAGGGAGGCTTTGGAGTGAGGAAGAAGAAATTATAAACTTCAGGAAATTCTGGACTGAAAAGATGGGTGGTTTCAAAATTATGTTAAATTTCCATTTCATAATGCAGTGGAAGAGACTGGAAGGGGTTATAAGCCAAAAGTTGACATAAAAAAAGGAAAGCAAAACATATCTTGTTCAAAGTAAGGGCAGTTGTCAAAGTTGGATTTTGATTGAATTTTTTCCTATTTCATCTGGTCTACTCAGTTATCTCATTTGGGTGTTTCCAAAACACAAGCTAACCTTCTTTCAAAAAGAATTAAAAATCTGTAAGTATCACTTAAAACATTGGGTTCAGAAACAGACAGAATGGGAACACTGCTGATAAAGCCAGGAATGGATTTTCAGGAACTGACAGTGTGGGTGGTTAGAACTCCAGCTCTGATCACAACACAGCTGCTGCCATCCTCAAATAGCAGCCTTAGTATTCACAGGAACTTCTTAAAAATTAATCAGCTTCTCCCTAAATGAGGTGTTGATAAATACTATCAGGGTTGTATTTTGGATTCCCTTCTCTTTCACTGCCCAGGATTTTGCGGATAACTGAACTTCTTAAATGAAAAGAAAAATACTTTTTTGGGTGACTGCTTACCCATTTTTAGGGCTGCTTTGCAGGGGCTACAACCCCCCTGTTCTCTATATAGAAGCACTATATAAAGGCCTTCTCCATTTATTCAGTCAGTGTAGAACTGGGCAAAAGAATCTGGATTTTATTATACTTTTTTTTTAGTGGATATGTTTTTTTAGTGAAAAAGCCAATTTATCATGTACCACTTGGTGAAAAAGCCAATATGTTTATCATGTACCACTTTTATTACTTAAAACCAGAAAACTTGTATTTGTTAAGGATAAAACAGGCAGTTCCATGACGTTATTTCTCTTCCAAAATGGCTTTCAAATCAGATATGTTTTTCAGTCTAAGGCAGAGCACTATGCCACCCTTGCTGAAAGATTTGCTGCCATTACTGGGAAGCAGTGGGGATTTTTGTATGCTGAAAGCAATTAATTTGGTTTGGATTTTTTTTCCTTGTTACTGAATTATCTGTGAATGAAGCAGGCTGTTTCCTGCTCTTCCCTTTGCTGTGCTCCAGCAGTTTGGTCAGTTAACAATGTTGTAGCAGAGATTTTTGCTCTTCACTGGAATCCATGCAGCTTTTCCCACTTCACAGGGTGCCCAGAGCAGCTGTGGCTGCCCCATGCCTGGAAGTGTCCAAGGCCAGGTTGGACAGGGCTTGGAGCCACTGGGACAGTGGAAGGTGTCCCTGCCATGGCAGGGGCTGGGGCTGAATGAGATTTAAGGTCCTTTCCAATCCAAATAATTCTGGGATTCTATGATTCAGAATTTACAGTGGTTTTACTTCCTTTGCCTGGTGTCAACAGCTGTCAGAAGAAAAGGAATAACCATGAGCCATGACACAGCACAGTCAGACTTAAATTGAACCCCTAACTGCCTCCCTACTTCTGCCTCAGCTGTTTCTGTTCTGGAAGGTACTAAAACAATTTTTTTATACTGTTTTGTCCACTGATGGTGGTAAAATTAATATTGCTGCTCTCTAGACAAAATCTTTTAATTTCTGTGTGATCCCAGATATTCCCATGCAATCACTTTGTGCATTTGAGAGATTTAAGAAGTGACCCATCCTCACAGGAGTTCCCTGGTTGCCTGTACAGGACAGACTTGAATGCTTTTCTGTGACAGCAAGTAAATAACAGCCACAAAGGCAGCAAATTTTTAGCTGAATCTAGCCTGATTTCATGGGCACACACACATACACAGGCCTCCAGCAGAATCCCAGAATGGTTTGGGCTGGAAGCAGCCTTAAAGCTCATCCCATTCCACCCCCTGCTGTGGGCAGGGACACCTCCCACTATCCCAGGTTGCTCCAAGCCCCATCCAACCTGCTTTGGACACTTCCAGGAATGGGGGAGCCCACAACCTCTCTGGGCAGCAGTCAAGGTTATCCCTGGTCATGGCAGGGGCAGCTGCAGGTGCCTTTGAAGTTTTTATTAAATGGCAGCTGCATTCCAAGGACATGCTGGGTGCTGTGCCTGGTGGAGCTCCAGTCCAAGGCTCCCAGTGCCATTGCAGATGTGCTGCTGTTCAAGTGGCATCTTACACAAATCTGCAGTGGTTTGGTCTAACAAGGCTGCCTGACCTTGGCTGTGGTGCTCACTGGGTTATGCTGACAGGGCTGGTTAATGTCTGTCCTCATTCTCTCTCTCCCCTCTTCCTGGACTCCTGACCAGCTGCGAAGTGAGAAGGAGACAAGGAATAAGCTGATTGAAGCTGACATGAATGGGAAGCCTCAAAACAGACTCTTCACCAAGTAAGTCTCTCCCTCTTAGTTGAAAAGAAACTGCCCGGAAAGTAATGGGAGAGCAGCTTCATCTCTCACAGCCAGCTGGCCTCAGCTGGGTCAAAAACAATTCACTGCTGTTTATTTCATGCATTTTTTTTAATCTGAACACTCTCAAATACAGTTTTAGGTGTGTCAAATATAGTTTGTGTTGTGTCTTAACATACCCAGTGAGTGGTGGAACAAGGGCTTGGGCTGGTGTTTGGTTCTGCAGCTCCTGCTCTGGCTGGGGATCAATCAGGTCTTTGGCCTGAGAACTGCACCTTTTTGTTGTACAAAGCCCTACAGCCCAACTGCTGCATTGTGTGGCCCTAGAAAAGGAGAGATCACAATTTTGTGGATGGAAAAATGCTTGCAGAATTAGAAAATGTGAGACTGGCAGTGGAATCCATGGCAAATTGACGATGATGGAAGTGCTGGAGTGTTCAGTCTGTAGATGGATTTTATCCTTTGCTTCTTCTGTATGTAGTAAATAATGTCTCTGTCTTCCTGAGAGGTACAACTCAGATAGCTTGCTTGCCTAGTCCTAAAAATTTCCTATTTTGCAGCAAAGAGAAGATTCTTTATGAGGAAGACACGTTGAAGTCCATGGAAACTGAGGAAGAGAACAAGGACTCAAGCAGTTCTAGTTCTGAAGAGGAAGAAGCTGAAGATGAAGTTTCAGAATCAGATGCTGAAAAGGAGTCAGGTAAGACTTTGTATAGCATTGGATTTAATAACTAGCCTAGCTATTACCATTATTAATGTTGTTGTTGTTATTATTGTTAACTAATTATATAATTAGTTGTTAAGGACATGCTGAAAGTTTTACTTCCAGTCTGTATGTACAGAATTTGGAGAAACCTGAAGCTACTGTGCTAAAAAAGTTGATTCAAATGCTGTCTCACAGGTCAGCATAATTATTTTTAAAAATCCTTCAGATCCTATTTTAATTCCTACTTCCAGCTCACATGTATTGAAAATAACACACTGTCTCTAGCTTATTCTCAAACGGGGTATTTTTCTTGTTGACCCAGTTCAAGAAGAATCCTTCAGGATGTTAGGGAAGCAGGTGAAGTTGTAGGAAGGCAGTAGTCTGTGTTTGGATCAGTCTGAAATGAAGGGCTGAAGCTGTTCTGACTGATTATAGAGGTGAGGAACTTCTGGTTTCTAGGCTGTGATGAGTAATGATTGCAAAAGATAGTGGAAAATAAGAATTATGTACACAGAATCACAGTAGAATTTACATTATAGTATATTGCTTGCATCTTACTCCCATTCCTTTTCCGTAATTTCTTTGGCTACCTTAATTAGTTTCAAAAGTGTATATGTGCAGCACAGAAAGTTTAAATACAGATACTTAATTGTACAGTAAGCCAAGACTTATTTGTACTTAATATTCTGCAAACACAGATGGATCTTGGACTATGATGTGTTTAATGGTTAAACTACTTTTAACATCAACTTACTTGGTCTATATCCGATATACTAAGAAATAGGTCCTGAGGAGAAGTGTATTTTAAAGTTTTGTTGTGCTTCTGTGCCAGTGAAATTGTCACCTGTGTTAGGATTGTATCAGTTAATGCTGTTGGGGCAGGGTGAGAGGGGTGGGAAATCCTGGCTGGGCTCTGCAGAGCTACTGCTGCACCAGCTGCGTGGGCATGGCAGGAACGCAGGGAAATGATCTTGGGGCTTTTAAATCAAGCAAGTCTAGTGGACATGTCAGTGGTGGAAGGAGACACACAGTACAGGTCACATGTATTTCCTCCATAAATCGGGGCTTAACGCTGGTTATATACATATTTATATAAATATAAATTATACCTGTCTAGCTGGGTGCCAGTGTTTGTAATCCTTATAAACATGGTGATAGTTTGACCAAAACAACTCAAATGTTTGCACACCTCTAAGACCTGGAGCTGTGTGGGGTTTAGCTGAGTCAGGAACAGCCTAAGATCCTTCAGCAAGGAAAGGTCTACAACACTCAGCATTAAATTTTGTTTAAAGCCAGACCAGGTCTTTTTATTGCATTAATTCACTGAGCAAAGCACATTATAGGAGTATATGTTAAACCACTGAAGCTAATAGAAATGGGAGACAACAAGCATTCAGGTAGTGATTCAGCTTCAGGCTTTGTTAGCTGTACTCTCCTTTCCTGGGAAGATTATTGGGTCCTTTGAGAAATTTCCATCAGAATTTAAACCCCACCTTGTAAACTTCTGAAATCTCTGGTAAAATGGGTGTGGACTTGCCCAGCTGGATGGAGACAGCTATCACTTGCTGCATATGTGAGTGGAGGGTCACATCTTTGGTGCTCTTTTTAAAGCAAGATTCTGGAAGGTAACAGCATCAGCCCACATTGCAGGAGGCCTCCAAAGAGAAGTAGGATTTTTCACTTTGGTGCTAAAATAATAAATGTCACAGTATTACTGATTTCAAAGACAGACAATGGTGTTCCTGGGCTGATCCCCCAGCGTGGGCAGCAGGGCAGGGGGGGATTCTGCCCCTGTGCTTTGCTCACCTGAGACCCCACCTGCAGAGCTGCCCCAGCCCTGGGCTTCCAGCTCAGCAAGGATGGGGAGCTGCTGGGGCGAGCCCAGAGGAGGCACCAGGGAGATCAGAGGGATGGAGCAGCTCTGCTGTGAGGAAATGCTGGGAGAATTGGGATTCCTCAGCCTGGAGAAGCTTTGGGGTGACCTCACTGTGACCTCCCAGGACCTGAAGGGAGCCTGCAAGGAAGATGAAGAGAGACTGCTTACAAGGGCCTGGAGTGACAGGACAAAGGGGAATGGCTTCAAACTGACAGAGAGTAGGTTTAGATAGGATAATAGGAAAAAATTCCTCCCTGTGAGGGTGGGGAGGCCCTGGCACTGGTGGCCCAGAGAAGCTGTGGCTGCCCCTGCATCCCAGGAAATGGCCAAGGCCAGACTGGAGCAACATGGGATAGATGAAAGTGTCCCTGCCCGTGGCAGTGGGTGGAATGAGATGGGCTTTAAGGTTCCTTTCAGTTCAAACCAGTCTGGGATTCTGTGGTTCTATGTTTTTCTGGTCAACATTTTACATGTTGCATTGTACAGGAGGCAGGCGTATGAAAACATGAATATTATTCCCTTATTCCTCTTAATTTTCTGTAATATTCCCATACCTTTATCATTCTTAGCAGTGCTGGACACATAGGTTATGACTTGTTCTAAAGTGTTCAAAGTCCAGATGAAAAAAAAATTCTGAGTGGTCTTTTTAAACCTAAAAATTCCAACCCCTTTGGTAGCCGAGCATAAAGCAGGACATGTAGAAGCTGGCAGTGTAACACACAAGGTTATTTTGAGGTGTGTTTTGAAGAGTCTCAGGTTGCGATTAATTTGTTGAATTTGCAGAGACTGTGGGAGGAAGAAATTGGATGAGGGAAGCAGTGAAATTGTTGGAAGGCTTCAGAGTAGTTTCTTATAATCTGTAAGAAATTTTTGTTCTTCGGATGAAGGAAACTAAGGGCATTCATGTCACTTTATTAATTTTGAAGACAATTAATTTGGCATTGACCTCTTGTAAACAAGAGAAAGATCAGTATAAAATTCTATGGTGATTATCTGTGCTGGGAACTATTACAATATGCAATTATTGGGAATTAAAGCAGGCCAAGGAAGCTTTTAATGTTGTTTTGTTTAGAAACAATCAAACAAAAACCCTTACAGAAGAGGAATTAGAAACCTAAATTTTTACTCTTACCAAATCTGTTTTGAGGAGATTGAACTAATCCTCTCCAGTTTATCTTGTCTGGAATTCATAATGTTTATTACTGAAATTTTGGTATAATAAAATGTGGGGTCCTGCCCAAAGCCAGCCCTGCCAGCACAGAGTCCCTCTGCTTGTCCCTCTTGTGCAGAAGATGTCCCAGAATGTTCCAGTCGCATTGCTCACAGTTAGTCCTTCCCAGCCTGTCATTACCACTTTAGCCTGTGCCCTTCTAATTAGGCTTGACCTTAAAAGCTGTCCTGTGTGCTATAAACTTCCAGAACAGGCTCCCAGTGCCCATCCAGCCCAGCCTGGAGAGCTGCTGCCACCTTCCCTTCCTGCAGTGCTCTGTGTTTTACAGAGCAGTCACAACAATGAGCAGCTGGCAGCAAATGGGCATTTCCATGGGCTTGGATGCCCAGTGTGGCAGGCCGGGCCTGCAGGGAGGAATGAGGGACCCATTGCCCCTTCCCCAGGGGTGGGTGAGAGCTCTGCTCCAGAACAGAAATCTACTGCTTCACAGAGAGGGAAAAGGGGCTGAGAATCCATTCTTCTGCAGACTCACAGGAACAGCTGGAGCTGTGTCAGGGGAGATTTAGGCTGGATTTCAGGAAAGATTCTTCCCCCAGAGGGTGCTGGCACTGCCCAGGCTCCCCAGGGAATGGGCACAGCCCTGAGGCTGCCAGAGCTCCGGGAGTGATTGCACAGCACTGCCAGGGATGCCCAGGGTGGGATTGTTGGGTGTCTGTGCAGGGCAGGGGTTGGACTGGATGATCCCTTCCTGCTCAGGAGATTCCATGATTCTGTCCTTGTCTCTTTAGTTCAGGCTCTGTCAGTCCTGATAACTTCCTGTTATTTTAAAATGTTTCTCTTGGTTTGCTCTTTTCTTGTTTTTGTGTCCTTTGAATCCTTATTTTTCTGGTACCAAGAATATTTGTTACAGAAAGATTGATCTTCACACTCCAAGGTGCCATCCTTCCAGATGCTCCATCCCAAACAACTCCAAATGTGTAACAGCAGATTTTTATTCCCTGCACATAGGTTATTTGCTAGGACTGTTTGGGTGCTTATGCTTAAAGTTGCTTTCTATTTTCCAAGCCATGACTGTGTGAGCACTCACAGCTATAAGGAAAGCCTTGATTGGTGGCTGCAGGTACATCATTTCTCAGGCAGGTTCCATATGCCTGGGTTTATGATGAATAGTCTGTCTCCAGCCTGTGCTCTCCTGTCACGTGAACCTACTGCCTGAGTCACACTTTCTGCTTACTCTCCTCCTGGTAATGTCTGGTGAATGTTCTTCTGTCAAGCATATGCATAGATACAAAAAATAAATGTGATACTGGACTGCTGCTCTTATCTAACAAACAGGGAGCCAGCTGTGAGCTTGGACAAGGGTTGCTTAGCTTTCTTGGAGCCCAAGTAGGGGTTTTTGTTGGGCAGCAGTCCTGGCTTTCTGTAAAAAAAAATGGACTTTGCTGCAGAAGACCAGAAATTCTGCCCAGCAGCCCAGGCAAGTGCAGAGAACTGTGCAGTGAAACCCAGCACTGGGCACTCAGGGCTGTGGGCTGTACCACACTTGTGGTTCAGGAAGGAGGAACAGCATGTGCCCCTTTTTATCCAGGGAAGAAATTCCCAGACAAGAAACAAAATTGTGAAAAACAAAAAACCGTGTGTCCTCTGCATGGAGCTTTCTGCAAAGATTTTGCTTGTCTGTGAAGATAAAGTACAAAAGCTTTGCCTGGCAAATGTGTCCATCCTATTCTTTAGGAAGTGGGAAGCTCCTTGCAGAAAGCCCTGCCATCTGATAGTGCAGAAAGCACTGACATTTCTGTGATCCAAGGAGGTCACACAGCACTGAACTGGAGTGCAGACCACACTCTGTGTAAAGAAGGGCCTCAGAAGTGCAATACTGAAACATTTGGTTTCTCTTCTTGTTTAAAATTGTAGAGAGAAAGGAAGAGCCCTTTGCCAACCACTCCAGCCGTGAATCCAGGCCCAGCATCACTGAGCAAATGCCACCACCCGAGCCCAACTCCTTCACTGCATCTGCCAGAAGAGTAAGTGAATTTGGAATCAATGGGGACTCCAGTAGAGCTCAGAAGCAGAAGGTGTTACTGGGAGATGGATGCTCTGAAACCAGTCTTCAGAGGACTTTAAGACTTGAATTTAGAAAAGCCTGGTAGTATGAAATTCTGATAAAGATGAGTGTTAACAGCAGTGTAGGGACAATACAGTTCCTCTTGAATCTCTGACCCTCCAAAGCCAATTGTGGTGAAGATAGCCAGCCTACAACACATGCTGTATGTGCTGTCAGTTCTGAGGGGGCTGGTGCCAATGTCTTCTCAGCAGATCTGTCACCAGAGCTGATTTCTGCCTGTGTGCCCGTGGTGAGTTTGGCACCACCATCCAAAGTGCCTCTGACTTGCCAAAGCCAGTTGAGTCAGTGGTGTGATGTTACTGTCCAGCAAGCAGAGGATAGTTTGCATGTGGCTGGCCAGCTGGGCTATAAAAGCTTTGAAAGGTGAAGTGGTCACTGAAATCTTATGTGAATCCTCCAGCTCTCAGATCACTGAGCTACATGGCACCAGGAGACTGCTCTGCACAGGACTCCTGTTGTATGCTGCTGCTTTCTTTTTGCACCAGACTGTGGAGAAAACAACGCAGAGCTGAAGCGCTAGGTGCTTGTCGGGAGAAAATGTTTCTTGCTTAGTCACAATGTTTTATTTTTCAAATGTAACAGAGCATAACCAAGATCAAATGAAAGGGAGCTCCTCTGGCATTGTTCGGCTCAGGCTGGCTTAGCAGGGGAACTGTTAGAGGTAGAAGGTGCTGGGAAGTGTGAGTACTTCAGTTAACCTTTTCCCAGCTGCTGAGAAGTTTGGTCTCTCACTCCGTTGAGCTGTTTAATGCAGAAAAGGGTGTTAGAGTGTAGAAGCTGGCCTGTGAGTGAAGAAATTATTGATTTGACCTCAGTCACTTAAGATCAGCTTCTTTACCTTCTCTTACCTGTTTGATTTCTCTGTAGTTCTCTTTGACAGACTGGGCTTTAGATTGTGTTGCCCTCTATTAGGGCAGTTATTAGTATGTGCTGTTCCTGTGTTCAGAATTTATAGATGGCAGCTTTTGCTGTGGTTTTGAGCATTCTCTGAGGAAAGCATCAAAAGTACATGAAAATGTTTGAGCTGTGTGGCTCAGTAGACTGGCAGTGCTGGAAATGGTGGAGTACAGATTAACTCTTTGCATCTGCATTGAAATGACACGAGCTGAAAACATTGCTCAAATGCTGGAGGGATAATTTCAGCTTGGCAGTCTTCAGACAGTGAGTCTGAGGGCAGAGCTCTCCAGTAGCTCCATTTACTCTGAATGGTGTCAGATGGTTTGTGTCAGACAGAATATGGTATAATAATGCTTAGATCAGCTTTGATCAAAAGTCTTGTCTGCCCAGTGTCCTGCCCAACAGTGACCATCAGAAGCTACTAGAGAACACAGTCTTGCAGGAATTCCCTCCCACAGTCCAGCAATTGGCATTTCAGAAACTCGCTGAACCTGGTGTATTTTTTGTCTTCAATAGTCCCTGCAGAATTTTACTTTATGCAGTCACTTTTTGACTGGGATCCTCTAATGTCCAGTGGTAAAAAGAATCCTTCAGCTTAGTTAAAAACTCTACAAAGCTCCCTGTCCCATTAACAACCACACACTGGGTTTGTTTGCTGTCCCTCGTTCCTTTATGGGAAGGACCAAGGAATAATTGTTCCTTACTCACCCTTCTGTTGCCACTGAGGGTTTCATGTACCTTGGTCATATCTCAGCCTGGAGACTACTGATATACTAAATATCTCCTCATGCAAAACCTCTCTTGCTCTACTCATTCTTGCTGCCTTTCCCTGAACTCTTCCCTTCTTGTCAACTGCTGCTGAACCCTGGACCTGAGCTGTGGTGTTACCAAAGGTGTGATTGTACTCTGCAGTGATACAGAGCCACAGTGGTTGTGTGTTTTGTATTCTGTACTTTTCCAAAAATTCCTAATAATTTGTTTGCTTTATTTCTTGTACAACTTGGTGCTTAGCCCTGCACAAGTATCTCTTGTGGTGCTCAGGCTCCATTTTTGAACAGCAGCGTGCAGCCTTTTTAAAGACTTGATCACTGTAGCTGAAGTCGTACATTTAAGCAGTTGTACATTTAAGCAGTTGTGTCTTCAAGGACTAATATATGCAGGTCAGAAGTGCCTCATGTAGGAAAAAGCACAAAGGCCCATTCTGTGCTATGCACAGTTATCTGCCCATGGAAGGGGCCTTAGTGAGGCTGAAGGCCAACATCCTGCTCAAAGCAGGATTAAGCTCATGTCATGTTGCTTTGTCCTACCTGAGCTCAGCTGAGTATTAAAAGGTCTCTGAGGATGGAGATGCTCTACTCCTTTACTCTCTGTCCCAGTGCAGCTTTGATCCTGCCAGGAGTTACGTCTCCGTGTCAGCTGGGATTTCCCAAGTGGAAACTTGTCTGTTCTCCTCCTTTCACTGTAGACTGTAGAGAAGTCTGGTTCCATGTCCTCTGTAAACCCACCCCTAAGGAGCGGAGCAATTAAATCCTGTCTTTGCCTTCTCTTTTCCATGCTGAACAATCCAGGTTTCCTCAGTTTCTTCCTTTACAGTGGTGTTGGCTACAGCTCCCTGGTGATCTCAATGGCTTCCTCTGGATTCCACTGGTGTGAGGGGTTTATTTGCAGCTAATTCTGTAAGACATGAGTATTTGTTTTTTGTATTCTGCCTTCACTGAATAATTCCCCTAAATGGGTGATAATAAAAGCTTCAATGTTCCTTATATTCTTTCCTCAAAGCTGGAGGAGGGCACTGTGTAGGCAAAGACCTGCACAATGACAGAAGATTGCTTGGGGATGAGGCACTACAGCAGTTTGCATCCCTGTGAGTTCACCTTGAGCTCTCCTGTAATTAAAGTGAAGCAGGAAATAAGTCATTCTGTCTTACAAGTCTAGCCCTGCAAAAACTGGTGCTTTTTTGAAACACTTTCTGAACTTAGAGTGGGCCTTGCAGTGCTCTTCCTTTCTCCAAATGTGCCATTTTCTCCTCCACAGTTCAGTTGGCTCAGCAAGTCAGACGAGCAGAAGGATGAGTCTCCTTCGTCGTGGCGGCTGGGCCTGAGGAAGACTGGCAGCCACAACATGTTGAGTGAAGTCGCTGCCACTCGTGAGGCACAGAGGGATAAAACTTCTTCTATCTATCGCTCCTCGTCCAGCCCTCGGATATCTGCACTGTTGGACAACAAGGAAAAGGTTTGGCTTTCAGCAAGGATATTTCAGGGTATCCACTTTACCCCACGGGTGTAAACCCCTTTCCCTTTTAGTTGTTGCTGGGGTTTGTGTCCATAACAAACAACGGTCTCTTTCATTCTTACCTTCTTTTTCTGTTGAAAAATATTTTCCTCCTGTCAGTTGTTTCTCCAGAACTGTAGTTTGGTGCCCCTTTGGCCTAATTCCTACTCAGTTTGGACCAGGCTGCCACTGAACAGGGGCTGCCAGTCTGGCACTGTTCTTCACCAGAAAATGTCCAATCCAGACAACAGCACATGCCTGCAGTGGAGATTCTCCTTCTCCATCATTTATATGGATTCCTCCTCTATCTACCAGCTGCATTTGTAAATCCCATCCCACGTATTCAGTAACTGTAACTTTTCTGCCCATGGGTAGATGCCTCATCCCAGGACGTGTTCAAGACCACCTTGGATGGAGCTTGGTCTAGTGGACTAAAGATCCCTTCCAACCCAAACCACTTCTCTGATTCTGTGATTGACAAGTTATTCTCTAAGTTAGAAGATGCTTTTATTCACTACCATGGTCATCAGGAAATCCCTTTCAGAACTGATATTTCTATGCTGTGGTTTGTTGCTTTAAGCAATATAAGAGAAGCAAGAAGTTGCTTTAAACCAGCTGGTAGAAGAATGCTTTCTTAGTTGAAGAGTTTGAACATGAATTTATTTACCACTGAACATGCTGGAAGGGTAAGAGATGTGTAGCTGAAGTTCCTCTTTTGCTTCACCAGGACAGAGACAACAAGAGTTATCTTGCCACCATAGTCCCCAGAAGACTGAGCAGTACGAGTGATACAGAAGAAAAAGAAAACAGGTGAGACTGGCTGAAGTTAATGCTCAGCTTCCATCCTGTCAGTAGTACTTCTGGAATATAATTTTTCTGTGGTCATGCTCTGTATATTTTCTCAGCAGTCTCAAGTACACAAGAATTCACAACATCAAGAGCCAGCTCTGTCTATAAAAGTTCTGGTACGTTGGTTTTCATTTAGGTGAGCAGGAATCAACAGACTGGTTCCTCCACCCCTGTATTCACACAGGCACAGGCTCCATTCAGGCAGCCAGATTTATGGATCCTTTTTCCTTTTAATATGCAAGTGCCTCATTTTGTAGCTGCCACCTGCACTTGTAGTTGTCACTTGCTCAGCAGTCACCTTCAATCCCTTTGTTCACACCTCTGTCACTTGAGATTCACTCAAGCTTGTGAACTCTCCCATGTAGAAACTGTTTCATTGCATGGCTGTTTTTACAGTCGGTGTGTGTAAATGCCCCTGGTCCTAACCATGGTGTAAATGGTGTGTGTAAGTCCAGGAATTCCAGATGTATTTGAGGAGCTGATCTCTACTAGTAGCTTCTTCAGGGGCCTTCCAGTGCCTAAAGTGGCTCCTAGAGAGCTGGAGAGGAACTTTGGACAAGGTCCTGGAGTGATAGAACACGGGGGAATGGCTTCCCACTGCCAGAGGGCAGGGTTAGATGGGATAGTGGGAAGGAATTCTTGGCTGTGAGGGTGGGCAGGCCCTGGCACAGGGTGCCCAGAGCAGCTGTGGCTGCCCCAAGCCTGTAAGTGTCCAAGGCCGGGTTGGATGGGACTTGGAGCAACCTGGGACAGTGGAAGGTGTCCTTCCCTGGGCAGGTAGTAAGACAGGATGAGCTTTAAGGTCCCTTCCAACTGTGGCTATTCTATGATTCAGTTTCTACTGGAAGGAGTAAAATTTGACCTTAGCCTCAAGTCCAGCTATTTCCCCAACAGAGGGGGAAAGGCACATGCAGAGCAGTGGCTGTGAACTGTAATTGTTGGGCAGGAGCTGTGGCAGATGACAACCTGAGAGAATTTCAGCACAGCTTGAGAATCTTTGCTGATCTTTTGCTGGAACATCCCTGCTGTGTTCTTGTTCACTCTCAGGCAGTCCCTGAGATCGAGAGTTTTGCGGACAATTTGTGGCTGTTGATCAGCTCAAGAAGGTTTGGCAGGGGTTGCTATAGAGTGGCACATCCCCCTGTAGGAGCTGACAAGTGTCCTTTTCTGGGTGGAGTTGGGACTGGCTGAGGAGTACTGGCCTTCAGGAACAGATGGTGCCCAGGCATGCTCTGTAGTACAGATTTTTTCCCAATATTCTTTTCTTTCAAAACATTTGGGTTTTCCTTTCTGGAACGCACACGTGTCTTGAGAGAGCATCAGTCTAGGCATGACAACTGGAAATGAGAAATAATTGCATACTGATAGGGGAATGGATTAGTGCTGCATTGCAAGCTCCAGGTCCTTTGCAGCACCAGCAGAGAGCAGGATACACTGCCAGAGTGTGCATTAGCATTAGGGAGAGAGCCCTGTTTTCAGATAACCAGGGTAAACAGGACTACTAGGAATTTCTTGATAACTTGTCAAGTAGCTTTAGATACTGTAAATATTTTGTTTGTTGTTTTCTGCTTCATGATTTTGTGGTTGACCTGGTAGTGCTGAGTTAATTGTTGGACTCGGTGATCTTAGAGGACTTTTCCAAGCCTATTGATTTTGTGAAAGGCTTTGCTGGGCTGAATTGCTTTTGTCTTTGCCTGGATACCTTGAAGAATAAAAGCTTTCCTGCAGTTCAATATATACCCATTTATACTTTGTTGTTTGATACAGACAGCAGTGAGAATATTAAATGACACTATTTAATATGTTGAATAACTTTTATGGACAATCTGAATTTCATTTGCAATTTTCTGACTAAAAAGGATCTTGTTCCCCTTTATCCCAAACATTACATCATCTGTGGTTCTTCAGTGAGCTGGCAAGAGCAGGAGCTGATGTTAAGGCCAGAGCAGGTGATTCTCTGAGCTGTGTCACCTGAACAATGAAGCACGTAGGTGTAAGGGAAGGATCTGTGTTGTGAAACTGTGAAAGAACCAAAAGCAGACTCCAGGGGTTTTTCTGAGCAAAGGCTGTGCTGTGTCCTGCTGTAGGGAATCTGCTGTGAACCTGGTGCGGAGCGGCTCCTACACGCGGCAGCCCTGGAGGGACGAGCCAAAGGGAAACGAAGCTCCCCACTCCGGTGCACCCACTACCTATGTATCCACCTACTTGAAAAGGTATGTTCAGGTCCCTCTTCCATGGGTTCTCAGGCAGTCAGAACCACTCTTAACATGCCTCCCACACCTCGGCCTCCTGCGTGTTGCCTCCTGCATCTTGTAACTGGCCTTGGGACCCTCTTCTGCTGAGAGCAGGAAAGAAAAGATTTTTTAATATTTGTCATGCTAAATAGTGTTTTTAAAAGCTATAATTTTATTAATTTGCAAATTTCTGGACTGAATTTAAATACTCTTCTTCACATAATTCAAATGCAAAGTTTTCTCTGTTTAATGCTGGTGTTATGGTTAGAGATTAAAACCAAAATTGATCATAAAAACAGATTAATGTAATAAGAATCCAAAAGCGTTGCGCAGATAGCTCTTGGTGAGCAAGTTATAGCTTGTCTCTAATTTTGGTTTGTATCAGTCCATGTTTATAGAATTATCAGAAAGTGGCAGTGATCTTGTGCATGATGTACAGCACTTGCTAAGGAGTAAAACTGATGCTTCTACCATTGATTTATAAAGCAGTAAGGAAGCAGTTTGTTCACAGTATGGGTGAAGTTGTAGAGGCTTATTATTGGTAAAGGAGCCAGGAAGAAGCAGGAAAGCAATTCCTGGCAGAACTCCTGTAACTGCAGTGTCAGGGACCCCTTGGGAGGCAGAGCCTCGGTGTCCTTGAGGTGCCACCTGACAGCTCTCTCTGAGTGAGCTGAGGCAGTGCCCTGCTCTGGTGGGGCAAATCGTGCATTGCTGGGTTTTCATGTGAGCAGGAGGATCAGCAGTGCCAGCACCTCACCTTTATTTCAGCTGATACTGAAGACCATCAAAACAGCCTGTAGTGACCATGTCACACTGCAAAACCACTGTGTTTCTGCTTAAGGAAAAGCAGCAGTAAGAAAACGGCAGCAATAGCTTAAGGTTTTAGACTGAGATTCATGAGATTCTACGCCCTGAACTAAATAACTGTCCTGAAGTCAAGACAATTGCTTGAGATACTTGGGAAGAGGTAATTTGTTCCAGTGTTTATGCTGTGTTTATGTAGAGGTAAGTGGTGCTCAAGGATGTGTGTGGCCAGTTGCTGAGCATGTACAGATCCATTGCCACAAAAGGTGAAGCAGCCCCTTCAAGCAGAAGCTTCTGCTCTGCTGCTCCATTCTGGTGACTTCACAGCTATCCTGGGACGTGATGACAGCCCAGCCTCCATGGCTTGTCTCTCTCTGAAGCTGGACAAGCTAGAGCTGATTACATTGGAAAACTTTTGTCCCTTGCAGCTGGCACACCTGTGCTGCTCCCTGAGCTGAGGGACAGCCCAGTCACCCCCAGGCAATCTTTACAAACATTGCTGGTTAATCCCAGCTAATCCTGCACCAGATTTAGTGTTGCACTGCACACACTCACTGTATTTCCTTGGTTACACTGTACAGAGAGTGAGGAAGGTTTAGGCTGTATTGGGAGGTCACTAATACTGAGTTCTTGACACAGGCTGAATTCTGATCTTTCATAAGATAGTAACTGGCTCACATGCAGGTACAGGGAATAGCTTTGTCAGGTAGGAATAAATATGCTTTTAAAGGAGAGATCAATGGGTTTGCATTTCATATACAAACAGTAAAACCATGATCAATTAGACCTTTGTCCCTTATAGTTTTGTGTAGGAGAGCACAGTGATATTGAATACAATTGTATTGAACTTTTGATTTCTCCAACCTTGTGCATCCGCCCCTAAGATGAGGAAATGAACCTTGGTAGACATAAGCATTTTGTCATTTCCAAGTATTAGCAAAACTCTCAACCCAACTGCAAAAGGTGAAAGCTTCTTCTTAGAGAGGAAGAATTCAAGGGAATATGACATGCTGGATGTCACTGAGGGGATGACTGTATACATCTGCAGCTCCCCTTTGCCTCAGCATTTGACTGATCTCCATAAAGATCACAGTCTGGTTTGGGCTGGAAGGGAGCTGAAATCCCATCTCCACCCCCTGCTGTGGGCAGGCACACCTTCCACAAACCTGGTCTTGAGCACTCCAGGCATGAGGCAGCCACAGCTTCTCTGGGCAATCTGTGCCAGGGCCTCACCACCCTCACAGGGAACAATTCCTTCCCAATATTCCTTCTAACCCCTAGTTATGTTCTTTATGATGCCCCAAACATAGAATGAACAACAGCAGCAAATCATCTTTAGAGGAGCTAAGAGCTGGCTTTTTCTTTTTCTTTTTCTTTTTCTTTTTCTTTTTCTTTTTCTTTTTCTTTTTTCTTTCTTTTTCAACAAAATAACTTGTAGCAATGTTACAAATGTTCTTCAGCTTTAGTTGAAGCATATATTGATGATCTCTCTTTCGTGGTACTGGCAGTTGTCCTGCTTTCTCTGCGTGTGCCACTAGCTCAGAAATCTACAGAACCCTGCTCTAATATCCTGGTGTCCATTTTAGTGCGCACTGGCCTTCAAAAATCCAGGTCGAATGAAGGGATGTGGAGGAAAACTGGCATAGCAGGTTGGATTAGTTCAGCATCCTGCCTTAGACATCAGCCAGAAGTGCTGCCTCCCAGGAAGGGCTCACCCTGGAATGAAATCCTTCCGCCACACAGTTTCTCCTGCATTTCACATTGATGCAAATACCTCCTTGCTGGTTCTGGTCACATAAAAGCCATTGCAGTGAGCCAGGACAGCAGTCCCTGCAGCCCAGACTGTTTCTGACAGCAGCTGGTTTTGAAAGAGAACTTGCAAAAGCCAGGATAACTTCCAGCAGTTTGCTACCTCCCACACTCTCTTTGCTTCCAGCAATCAGGAATTTAGGAGCCAGGGGTTATATTTAACCATTGTTCTTAATAGCCACCACTGCAGCCAACTTCCATACCCAAATCCTAGTTTGATCTCTGCAATACCTCATGGCAGTGTGTTTAAAAAAACAGTTATGTGCTTTGTGCAAACCTTTTTTATTACCACATGTGGAAGCTGTTTAGGAGTGTGAAGGTTCTTAAGTAAAAGTTTTTAATGCCTTTAAAGTATTTCTTAAAGTCAGAAGTATTTTTTATTGCTTTGAAATGTTGCTTTGCATTTCGTTGCTCATTCCCTGATGGTTCTGTTGTGATAATGTTAGAGAATGAGGAGCAGTGTGTCATGTCAAAATAATTTTTTATTTCTGATGTTGAATTATTCAGCATAATTTCATAGTCCTCCTTTGCACAGACTCCTGTGTACACAGCTGTTAATTAACAGGATTCCCTGGCTAACCTTTATATTGCAGTTTTCTGGTCCAGTTCAAATCAAATGTGAACAATGGAGTAAATGCCTTGGAGTGCTCCTCTCACTGTGCAGTGCCACCCATGCAGGAGGACAGGCTGGGAGGTGGATTCCCACAGAGATGGCAGTGCCTTGGCTCCCTTTGGAGCAGGAGTGTGTTCCTGGTGCTCCAGCACCACATTTCTCTGCCCATGTGTGTTGGAGCTGGTGTAATGCCATCCCTGTGCCCTCTTCTTCCATTCCTCCTCCTCCTTTCCTCTTATCCCCCACATCACTGCTCTCCCAGGCACCTGGTACTGCTTCCATCCTCCTCACCCATTGCTTTTCCCTTCTGAAAAACAATCCTTGTCAGGGCTTTTTGATAATCCTCCTGCATCCTCCCTTCCTGACCAAGTTCCTTCTCTCTCTTGCAGCCACCCTTGTGCCCCAGCCTCCCTGCCTTGGGCTCTCCTAGGATGGTGCCACATCAACTCTGTTCCCTCAGGGCTGCCATCACCTTTTCCCCTGCTGATCCTCTCCTTCCCTCCCCAGACACAGGCTCCCCTGCCCTCCTCTCCTCCCAACACTCATTTATGCAACTCCACGGCCGCTTGCTCCACATGCCCACCCCAGCCAGGCTTCTCTTCCCACTCCCACCCTCCTCCCAGCCCATCTCCAGGGCTTGGCTTTTCCCTCTGGAGCAGAGAGCCAAGAAGGGAGGGACTTCCTGCTCCTGCATGCTCCAGGCAGGGCTAGCATTCCAGAGAAAGCTCTGTTTAGGGTCTGGCAGAGGTTGCTACCTGGTGACAATGACTTGCTTGTTCCTGTGTGACCTGGATATGGCAGGCAGCCATCAAATGGGGAGCCCAAATGGGAGGTTCCTCCCTGTGGAGGCCTTCCAGGATGCTCTGTTGTCCCGTTTGGCTCCCCAAGGACCAGCTGCTCATGCTGGGCTTGCTGGGGGCCTTGGCATATAAAACTGGCTTGTAAATTGGGTGCCTGGGTGAACAGGACTGGATCCTTTCTCTGGCCTCCTGTCCTTGGCTATGGTCCTGCCCCTTCCCAGTGTTATTTCAGCCTCAGGCTGCTCTCTGGATTCTTACTCTAGAGTAGACTTCCAGTTTCATTCTGTTGTCCCTGGCCTTCCCTAAAACCTGCAGCTCTGTCCTGGCCTGCTTCTTTCCTCTAGGTCAGCTTTTATTCCTGTGCAACCACTTTGGTCCTTGTGCCCTGCCATGGGAGCCATTAGGACGCAGAAGGTGAGAGCCAGCCTTCCTAGCCTCTGATCCTTCAGACAGTCCAGTCTGACCAGGCATGCCAGATGCTGGGAAAGGTGTGGCAGGGCCCTAGGAGCCACTGGATTACTCTGTGCAGGCAGTGAGCAGCTTGGGTGCAGGGCTTGGACATTTGTGAGAAGGAGATTCTGCCAGACTTCATCAAGTCTGTTTTCAGAGATATGCAGCTTTTCCCACTAGAATGGATTCTCTGTCCCATTAGGGTGGATTTTCTCTCCCCTTAGGCTGGATTTTCTTTGAAAAAGTGAAAGGGTCTATCCTTGTATAAGAGCCCTTTTTGTTTCCTCCTCCATCTTCTCCAAACTATGAACACAAACACAGCTTTTGAGTAAGATTTTCAGGACTTGCTTTAAACTGGCAAAATATTATTTCCCTTGCTCAATCTTGAATATTTTTGGACAGCTGTGCTAGCTATTTTCCAGAAATACAGTTTGTGCCAAACGTGTCTTAAAGAAAAGTAAAGCCTGAACTGATCATCTTTGCCAAAACTTTAAGCCACTGGAAATAAGTTCTTAAAACAGGAAGTCCTGGACATCCTCAGGTGTGATGCAGCCTGACCAGCTTATGTCACTCTATCCTCTCCTGCTTTAAACATCCTCATCCTTGCACCTGCCTTTCCCCAGGGCACAGAGTGCTCCATATGCCCTACTTTCACTGCAGCAGGGTTTTTTCCTTCCCTGATCCTCCCCAGCTCACCCCCATGTCATTATTCTCTTGCTGGAACTGAGCTGGGCTTAGCTAAGCAGGGCTCTGCTGGCACTGGCCTGTGTGGGCAACCAGTGACAGCTCCGCTGCTCTCTGATCTCCTTGCACATGTTTTGCTGCCCTGTGGTACCTGCTCCCTTCCCAGCTGCCAGCCCAGCTGTGGGATGTGCTGTTGAATATTTACTGTGCTCTGAAGGACGTGATTTTGTGATGTTTTACAGTGCTTCATTTGGTAGAAGTAGTGACCTGAGCAGTCCCTACATTTCAGCCAGTCGCAGTCCATCTCTAGCTACCTCACCCACTGCCATTGGCTCATCTACCTCCCCGGGCACCCCGTGGCAACCTGTCTCTTGCTGCCCCACATCTCTCGGTGTGAACACTCCTGCCTCAGCCTACCACAGCACCAGGTAATGGCTCCCAGAGACAACGCTCCAAAGTCAGCATTTCGGTTGGAAGTTCTGCAGTGAATTAGGGATTGGATGTGTGCTTCCACATGGGACGTGCTGATAAGCAATTCCAGAATGATAAGCAATCCCAGGATGGTGGTGTTGGACAGTCTCAGTGGTGGGTGTGACTGGCAGGCAGGTGACAGCCCACAGTGAGTCCCTTGTGCCCTCTGTCCCTGGGACACAGCATGTGCTCAGGCTGCCCTCAGGTGCTCAGTGGAGCTCTTGGAGTTCCGTCCTTCTGCTTTTTCACCAGGTACATTTTTCTGATCATTTTTGCTACTAACAGGGATGTGAAGGCTATTAATTCCTCCTGCTCATTCTTCTTCAAGTTTTGTAAAATTCATTTTACTGTGGCTGTTCTCTACAAACACATGACTGTAAAGTGAGGAGGATGACTGTCCATGCTCCGTCGAGGAGGTTGGACTTGGTCAGCACTGGAGTTCACTTGCTTTGCTTTCCATATGTCTTCTCTATTTCAGAGCCCCTTTCAGGCAACAAACTGATTCTGCTGTAGAGAAAAACACAGATGGCAGCTGTGCCAGCACCCCTCTAGGTGTAATCACAAACCATGCTGTGCTCGGCGCTGCCAACGGCACCGGGAATGCCGGGGCTGCCTCCGCCCCGGGGAAGGACCTCTCGGCTGAGGAGGCCAGGGAGCGCAGAAGGTCAGTGAGGAGTGGGCTCTGTGGCCCTCTGCGTGGGCAGCTCTCACGTGGTGGTGATGGTGGGGGTGTAAGAACTGGTTTTTAGGTGTTCCATGAAGTTCCCAGGCGCCTGTCCCTACTCTCTCTGAAGGTTTTGAACTGAATGGTCAGTGGCTTGTAGGTTAAATTTAGTTTCATAATTTTCTACTTGTCTCTTCAGCGTCTCAGCCTTTTTCTTCAGTACTAATCTCAGCCCATCCCAGCGTGTTTGCAGGGACACACAGCAGAGCAGCCACTCGCAGTGGGTTCTGTAAAATGAATCCCATCCTAAAAAGAGCATTGCACTGAGATACATTCAGATAAAATCTGTCCCTCTGATTCAGCTCAGCTGTGTTTACTTATGCCCTGATGGAGATGCCTGTGCTGCAAAGGTCCCCCAGGTTCCCTTTACAGTTAGTGGGAGAAAACAAACATTCCTGGGGTGTGTAGGTGTGTTACACAGTAGGAGATGGATTTCAGCAGCAGGTATGGCTTTGATTGACTGGAAAAACCAGAGGTAGGAGACTGCCATGTGCAGCTGAGGCCATTCCAGCAGTAGCAGCAGTGGGAATGACTCTGACTCCAGCTGGTGGTATCTCTTTCTTATCACATGGTGTTATTTTAAGACTGGGGAAATACAAACCTGGGGTGACAGAGCTCTTTCCAAAGGAGCTCTACCGTATGCATTAATTACAGAATATTAAATGATCCATATATTCTTCCTGCAAACAGGTTAACTTTTCCAAAACCTGTCTCTTCTAATGGCATCAGTGAAAGCAAATAATAAAAAATGAAATGCAGTGATGAACTGGGTGTTTCTAACCAGCAGTGAGTTCATGCAGAGTACCCAGTGCTTGGATTCTTCCTAACTGTCATAGTGATTTATTGAAATACAACCCTTTCTGAGTGCAGATAGTGCTCTGACACATCTTAAATGGCCTGAGGCTGAAGGATGGCAAAAGCAGTAATGGGAATTATCAGCTTACAGGGCTAAAGGTGGTGGGGCTGAGCTGCTGCTGTGCTGTTGGAAAATACTCAAACTTGTAATGGTGCTTGGGATTTTTTTTTTCCCAGAGCTTGCACAGGGAGCACTTGGAAGGTACTAAAACTTCAGCTTTGTGTGCAGGGACAGTTTGCACTAGCCACTGCAGGGTATCTTTGGTGTGAAAGCACTTGGGTTAGCCCTGGAAGTGCCTCTGTGTGCTCCTGTTGCATTGCTGGAGGTCACTTGGCTTGGGGTCATTTACAATTGAATCGAGATGAGCTGCCAAAAGATACTACCAGTGCCCAGTGAGGTTGTGCAAGAGGACAGAGTGAGTATTGTGCTCTCAGTTCTCACTAAAGACCTTTCACAATGGTCTCTACATTTTAGCAAGCCCAGAATCAAGTTGCAGAAGCAGGTTTTTCCCTGCAGAAGTGGGCTGCTCACAGTCCCTCCAGACTTCTGGCACTGTCTGCAGATAAAGAACTGGACTGGGATAGTTACTTGTAGAGGTCCAAAAAAGCATCCATTAATATTACTGCATTGGCATTTACTGCCAAATCTGTTTCTATAAATAATACAGAAGATCTCTTTGTCTCCTGCATTTTTATTAGAGAACCATCTCCTGTGAATTATGGTAATGTAAAGAGAAAACACCAGAAAATTCCTCCCACCTTTAATTGATGCTTTCAGACTACTGAGAGAAAAAAAAAGCCCAGAAATTATAGATTGTGCTCATGGGGGAGGAAACCTTACTGATGAATGTATGTCCTCACAGTGGGATAAAGTGACTGGGAGCTACCTGCACATTGGAACTAGGACACATGGGCCCAAGGAGACAGGAGAAGTCACCTAAACAGGAAAAGCTTATTAGGGAAGGAGACCAATTCCAGTAAAATAAAAAGGCAAATGGCAAACAGTTGTCAGGGCAGTGCTGTATGGATTTCAGTTCCCAGTGGCAGCTGTTGCAGGAGTACTTGGGCTGCTTCAGTGTTTCCAAAGCACCAGCTTGCTCTTAGCAACAAAAACATAAACAGGCTGATCATCTAATTTTAGATCACAGGGATATCTCCGAACTTGTGGCCTTAAAATTATCTGTGTGAAGCCAAAAGCTTAAAGCAGAAGAGGCTGCTTAGGGCTCTGAATGAACGACTGGCATAGTGCTCTGGAGTGCTGGTTTGCATCCTGTGGTGGCCAATAAGCCTTACCCTGCCCCACCACAGTTTGAGCCATGGTGGTTCACCTGCTCCCTGTTTTCCAGCTGAATTGGTTAGGCTCCAGTAAATGCTGGGAAATAGTGTAAATTACTGCGGGGAGGAAAGAACAAACAGCAGAGGGGCAGTGGAGCAGAGATCCATTTGGGGCGTGCGATGCCACGTGGTGCCAGCTGGACCGTGCCCAGTCAGGGCTGGGGCCCGGCTGCTGCCACCTGTGTTCTGTGTGTCCTGCTGCACATGCCAGCCTTCTGTGTGTCCTGCTGCACATCCCAGCCTTCTCTGTGTCCTGCTGCACATGCCAGCCTCCTGACACTGCCCCCTGTGTTCTGTGTGTCCTGCTGCACATCCCAGCCTCCTGACACTGCCCCTGTGTTCTGTGTGTCCTGCTGCACATCCCAGCCTTCTGTGTGTCCTGCTGCACATCCCAGCCTTCTCTGTGTCCTGCTGCACATGCCAGCCTCCTGACACTGCCCCCTGTGTTCTGTGTGTCCTGCTGCACATGCCAGCCTTCTGTGTGTCCTGCTGCACATGCCAGCCTTCTGTGTGTCCTGCTGCACATCCCAGCCTCCCAATGCTCCTCTGCAGCACTGCAGTGTGCTAATGCTGTGGGCTGGAAATGTGCCATCTCCCACAGCCAGTGCTTGTGCCAGGCAGTTTCTTTTTTGGGGTTTTTTTTGGGTATTTTGGAGCTGCTGATGATCAGTGCGGTCTGGCCATTTGGATGATCTCCTGCCAAAAGCAAATTGACTCCCATTGTCAGTGTGTTTGTCCACTGAACTCAAACAGCCCTGACTCTGCTGAGTGTGGATGTCAGCTGTGTGGATGTTGTGCCTACAGTAGCTCACACAGGCCTGGTTCTTCCTAGGGCAGAACTAATAGCTTCCTCACTTCTGCTGGGTGCCTGTAGATGGTGGAGAATGGGGGTTCCTGTTGGTTGTAGCCCAGTGCTGGATTATCCACCTTCATCCAGGGTGACAGCGGCCTCTAGTGCCACCAAAAGCTTCTTACCCAAGTTCTCTGCATCCTGTCTGTGCAGATTCATTGCAGGGCTCTGCTCACGGCTTCTGCTGACAGTCCTGCACTGCAGAGTGTTCCTGGTGTCACAGGTCTGGCCTGCTTGGAGCTGTGTCCCCTGGGTTAGAAAGGGGCTGCAGGAGATCCTGCTGTACTGGAATGTCACTTGAGCCATGAGATATCTGTGCTGGAAAGAAAGTCTGGGAGATCTGGCTGAAGCTTTTCGTACTCTTCTTTTGGAACTTTTACTTCCCAGAGCAACTGGAAATGTGACCATGTAGCCCACAGCTGGCATGTGGTGAGACATGCTTTGCCTGAAAACTTCTGAAAGGCAAGTCTGCTCTCAGTTATGTGGCCAGTTTGAAAGGACTCTTGAATTTGAAATATCTCCTGGTTTGCCAAGAATTAGGATTTTTTTTTACCCCCCCACCACTGTGTTTATACAAATTAATTCTGCCATTGTGTGTGTTCTTCCTGTTCCTCGGGCAGGTTCCTGCAGGGTGGTTCCAGTACTTGCCATCAGAAATACTCTTAGGGACAGGAAACTCCTCTCTCTCCTTACTTGTTAATTTATTCTGAACAGTTTCTCACATAACTGCCCAATCCCTGGAAGTGTCCAAGGCCAGGTTGGACAGGGCTTGGAACAACCTGGTCTAGTGGAAGGTGCTCCTGCCCATGGCAGGGTGTGGAACTAGATAAGTTTTAAGGTCCCTTCCAAAGCAAACCATTCCAGGATTCCAGTGACAAATCAGAGTAGGAGTGAGGTGGCCTGGTTTTCTGGGCAGCTTTGGGGTGGGTGGCTCTGCTCAGCCCATGCCTTTTTGCCCTCTAAAGTCTCCCATAGAAATACTTTTCAGCTGAAGGAAATTCACTGACATGCCGGGTATCTGTGTTTGACAAACACTTCTGTTTCCTGCTTCACTCCCAAGAGGAATTCATTTTTCATTCTAAGGATCCAGCTGCTAATTATAGTAGCATATATTATTAATATATTAATAACTGAATCCTCCTCCACCAGTACTGTTAGATGAACAATTTTTGGCAAGTCCTTTTTCCTTGTGGTTCTTGTCCTGTGGGCATTCTGAGTGTGTCTCCTCTAGGAAGAGTATGGATGTGTCACCTGATGTGTCCCTTAACCCTTATGATCTGACAAATGGAATAAAGGACCCTGATCTCTGTGAAAGTTAACTATGAGATTTGCATTCAATGTTGCTTGAGAGGAGCTGGCAGAAAGGGCTGTGAACAATAGCTCGCTGCTGCCAACTATGATAATTGCATTCAAGGAGTATTTAAATGTTGCTTGAGAAGAGCTGGCAGAAAGGGCTGTGAACAATAGCTCACTGCTGCCATATTTTTAATAGCCTTTGACTCTGTAATCCTTATCACTGACTGATGCAGAGTGAGTGGTCTTGATCTCCTGGGAAAGGTCTCTGGGGAAGCAGAGCAGTGGGATGCTCATGCAAGGAGCTGCTACAAGGCAAGGGAAGGATTCCTGTCCACACTACACAGTGGACAACAAGAAGTTAAGAGCTTGCTCTCTCCTGTGAAGAGCTGAATGATCATCTGGCACCTGCTGTGACAGCATTTCCCTGCCACTGCCTCTGCCTCTGCACTTAATCACTTTCAGATAAAGTTGTCCCTTTTTTCAAAGGCTGCTGGTGCAGCCTTTGAAATGGGCTGACGTGGGAGGGCAGGAATTCTGCTGGCCTGGGATTGTCCATGTTGGGAAGAGGCGAGGTTGCTCCTGCTGGATCAGAAATCAAGCTGCA